CAATCCGCCGAACAGTTTGAAACATACACACACACACGCACATCAGCATTCGACCCGTTGTGGAACCCTCAGGGCACATCGTCCGCATCATCCCCTGCTTTTCCTCATCTTCTACCTCCTCATCTTCCTCCTCTTCCGCAACCTGTTCGAGGTGCCTTCAATCTGCTCCGAGCTGGAGGGCAGTCCGGAGAGGTTTTGAGGGCTCCACGTGGCAAGAGCCCGAGCTGCATGCGAGAGCTGCTCTTCCTATAGGCCGCGCCTGAGGGCCCTTCCCGGATCACCTTTCGATGGGGCCTCTCGTCCTCATCCCTTACTTCTTTCGTTATGTCTCCCGCTCTCTTTCTCCCCACTATCATTGTGTTGTTCCTCCTCCTCCACCTCCTCCTCATTGTCCTTATTTTCCGTTTTCTGTTCTCTCCTTTGTCCATTGATGTCGTCCAGGAGATGTCCGGCCGCCTTCCGCGTATTGTTGTTTACACTGGATTTCGGGGAGTTGGGTTTTTCCTTTTTCTTGTCCAAGATGCTGTTCCCGCTAAAGCGCTGGCTCCATTGTCAGGCTTCCTCTCGTTCCGAATCATAATCCCGCTGCAGCGGTGGCCTCATTCCCGCGCTTCCGCTCATTCCGAATCGCGCTCCCGTTGCAGCGCTGGCGCTCCTTCCAAACAGGCCCCAAAATCCAGGAGATGCTCCCCGACAAAAACCATGGAAGTGATTACGCATTCGGTGTCGATTCGTTGATTTTTGGGAGGCGCAAGAGCCGTCGTTCGTCCTCGTTGTTAGGAAATATCAGTTGGGAGCCCCGTCTCTGCTTTGAGCAAGCGATGTTGCAAGCAGATGCAGCGGGTGCTCTCCATCCGCCCCACCCTCCGTGGAGCTCTACGGGGAGCCTAAGGAGCTGGACATGGAGCTGCGACCCCAGACCGGCCCAGACCTCTCGATGACGATCTCGTTGCCCCCCCAAGCGACTACACGTAAGAGGGACCCTTCGCCGGAGTGACCTTTGGTGCTGGCCCAAAGGGGGTCGGGCGATTCGTCCTTTGGCAGGAGCTCGGCCTCGCGGCGGCACCCGCCTCGCGGGATCACGCTGGTATCTGAGCGCGCCAGGTTCGGGCCCACCCCTTGCAATCGACAGCAACGCATACGTGCCGCACCCCACAGCTTGCATTGGTTACCCGGGGGGGAGCCAGTCGACCAGACGGCGCGCGTTCCAGCCCAGGACCGATGCCGAATTCCAGCCCGAATCCGAAAACGTTTGGCTTGAATAGCTTTGGATACCTTTGAATATCTTTCCATATCTTTGAATATATTTTTCGAATCAATGGTGATGTTCACTGCTATAAGTTTTCCAACAATGTTCAAACATATTCCAGGCTCTCGGATGGGGCCGGTTTGGGTCATGACGCCGGGCCTGGTCAGACGTCGTCGCGATGCAGCCCGGCAGTGTCAGACCTCCTCGCGGTGCCCGCCGGCAGCGTCTGCTGTCGCAGCGCCTTCGAAATGCCATTCGGGGCTCTTGAATTCAATCGGCGGAATTCCGCGGTTGCCCGCTGGCACTAAATATCTGTCGGGTGGCGCCCCGCCGATCGTTGATGCGGCGCGGCACCGCCAGCTTGCGCGATTGCGTTGGCCCCCCCCGGGAGCCCCTGAAACCGCGCACCAAAGGTCAGTCTAGCCCAGGGTCACTCCTACGTGTAGTCGATCCAAACAACTTGGCGCCACGCCATGACATATAATACGGTGTGTTCTGCGCCGCTGTGCGATGTCATGATTTGCGTTGCAATGCTGTGTGATGCAACGATTCACTGCGCAATGCCACTCCATGCTATGGCATGCTACGCCCATGCCGTGACGTGCTCCACCATGCATCGCGTACCCTTTTCGCAATCATTGCCCTGCTCGACATCCGACTGTGCGAATACAGGGGCTATCTACGCCATGGTAAGATACGGGAGGGAGGGGCAGGGCGTCATATTCAACGCGAGCGCACCTAGCGTGTCCTCGTCCTCTCTCCCTCCTGCTCATCATCCAGCTCTCCCTGCTGCTCCTGCCCATCCTCTTCGTCCTCATTCTCTCCTTCCCCTTCTTCATCCTCCTCGCGCCTGGTCCAGAGCGACCTCTGCACTCTTTGCCGCGGAGCGCCAGGATCGTTGTGGCATCGGAGATTCGGCTGCGACGCGCCCCTCGCGGTGCGGCGGGACTTGTGGTGCCCGCCGTGGCTGCAGGGGCGGGCGAGGAGGATGAGGGCGTGGAACGCGGAAGCAGGTGAGAAGTTCACCATGGGCATCGTCCTGGACCGGGTTCACGCGTTCCCTCGCACCCGCGCTGGCGAGCCGATTTGCTGGTTCAACGGGTCTCCAGAAGGCAGGCTATCGTTACCGGGCATCTTGTTCACGGACGGAAGTGGCATGTGGCCAGGAACTTGCCTGGCCATGGCCTACAGTTAAGTCGGGTCTGTCCCCCTACAGGGGGATTTTCGACGGAAAACAAATCCCCCCAAAATAGTCAAAAAATTATCCAAACATAGCCTGGGGACCATTTTTGTAGCATTGTTTTGCCTTTTTGGGGCTCTTATGGGGCATTTTTTATTTTTCGTCGAAAATCCCCCTGTAGGGGGACACGCCCGACATAAAGCTACATGGACCTCCGCGTCGACTGCCAGGGTACCATGGACGCCCTTGCGTTGGGGCAAGGCGGGGGAACGTTGCCAACCGACCCCCGGCCGCACACGTGGCGCTCTTTTTGGAGAGACTTCGACGTCTACGATTTCGGGGTCAACAAGTTGCGCGCGCGCACGCCTCCATGGCAGATCTGCTCGCTAGCCGCATCTCTCATTGAGAGCGCACGAGCAACATGGCGGCGGACACCTATGCGAAGTACGGAGCACTGCGACGCGGTATTTGCGACACCGACGCGGCACTGTACAGGGGGTTGGTGGCTCTGGCGCAGCAGATGGTGCGATGGGCGGGAGAGCACGAAGCGTGGCTAGCCGGCAATGGCTTCAGGACCACGAGGATTTCCCCACCAGCCTGGCCGAAAGCCGGATTGAGCGCTGCAATCGGCGAGGCAGGCGATGTTGAGGAGACACCGTATGAGGATGATGTCGAGGAGGTTGAGGAGGGCGGGCCCTGGGCGGGAGGTATCCAGAGGTGCGACGCAACCGGGCAGCCCGCTGCCACGCCGATCCCAGGGACTCCACAGACACCTCAGCGACATGGGGTGGACGACGGGTGGACCCCCCAGTGGGCGGCGCTGCGGAGAGAGGCATTCGAGTGCGGAGGGCACGCATTGCTGAAAGCGTCCATGCGCGAGCGTCGGGATTTAACGGGCGAAGAACGGTATATAATAAAATGTTTCGCCGTCGGGGACACCTGCCCCAGGGCGGCTGGAAAGTTTATACCCTTACGGTGGCACCGTAGGGGCATAAACTTTCCAGCCGCCCAGGGACAGGCGCCCCCGACAGCGAAAAAGTTTATGTTATACCGTTCTTCGCCCGTTAAGGGATCACTGCATGTATTTCTGCATGCGATGTGGAGCGGCACTTCTCGGCCAGCCGCCCTGGGAAGGCCACGGCCGGGAAGCGCAAGCGCAGCTCTGCGGGGACGGGACGACTCGGAGACGGCCAGCGGCCGAGGGTCGATCTTGGGCAGCTCCCCAGCGACAGGGGGGAGGAGGAGGAGGAGGAGGAGGAGGAGGAGGAGGAGGAGGAGGAGGAGGAGGAGGAGGAGGAGGAGGAGGAGGAGGAGGAGGAGGAGGAGGAGGAGGAGGAGGAGGAGGAGGAGGGGAGGGGGAGGAGGAGGAGGAGGAGGAGGAGGAGGAGGAGGAGGAGGAGGAGGAGGAGGAGGAGGAGGAGGAGGAGGAGGAGGAGGAGGAGGGGGAGTGGGCCCTGTCCACGGACGAGCGGTCGGCGCTCGGACCGCTGCTGGGAGGGGCGCCCGTGGCGGCCCCCAAGGCTCAGGAGGGGAAAAAATACACAGACACCATGTATCGTCGAACCCCAGGAAACTATGCGAAAATATGGGAAGTGGGGGGGAAGACAAAAACCCAGAAAATATTGGAAAAATATGGGGAATCTTTTTGTTTGTGTGTATTTATTTGTGTGTTCTGGGGCCCCTTTTTGAAAGGCGAAGGGGCCACACATTTGCGGGCGGCGCTGGCCGACCCCCGCCGCTCCCAGCCTGGGGGGCGAGGGAGTGCATCTCTTCGCCGCGCACGGGGCTGCAGCCCGGGGGCGCGGGCCGAGCTCGGGCGGCCGCGCAAGGAGGTGTTGCTGGTGCAGAGGCCGACCCTCACCACCCACCAAACCACCCCAACCCAACCCGAAGGCTCAGATTTACCCTCGACTTCCAGTGGGGGGGGGGGTCGGGAAACGTCGAGCAGACACGTGGGGAACCCTTACCCCCCCCCCAACCCGAAATTCGGGTCTTCGGGTTGGGTTGGGGTGGTCTGGTAGCTAGTCAGACCCCAGCTCCGACGCCGAGTACGGCTCAGACGACAGCCGGGGCAGCAGGGGCGACGGTTGGTAGAAGTGAGTAAGTAGGGGCCAGGGGGGCGCATGCCCCTTCTCGTCCTCTGCCCTCCTCGCCTCCTCGTCGTTCCTCTGCCCTGCCTCCGAGTGTGCCGGGTGGACAACCGCTTTCGAGGACGATTGCCTTCTCCTCCTCCTCCGCCTTCTCCCCCTCCTCATCCCTTCAGCTCCTTCCCCTCCTCCTTTCCTGATCCTACCCATAATTTTCCTCTTCTTCATCCTCCTCCTCCTCCTCCTCCTCCCTTCTCCTTCCCTCCTCCCCATCGTCTTACTTCTCCCTCCCTCCCCACCTCCTGCTCCTCCTCGTGGTCCTCCTCTTGATCCCCCCCCAAAACCTCCGTCCTCCCCCTTCCTCCCGTCGGAGGAGCACAAGAAGAAGATGGAGGGCTTCGAAAAACAGGTGACGGCGATCGAGAAGGAGCACAACGCGCGCCTCCAGGATCGGGGCGGGGCTGGCGGGAAGAGGGGAGGAGGACGAGGGCATTGAGGAGGGAGGAGGGGGACACAGAGGATGGGAAGGAGGAGGGAGGGGGAAACAACAGGGACAGGGGGAGGAGCACACAGCCAAAACGGTCACCTAGAGGCGGCCAGGGAACTCTCTAGGCGCCGTCTCGAGTGCCCACACAAGGGATCCCGGCGGGAGGCAGCGCGCAAGCGCAAGAACGAGCAAGGTAATGTATGATAAGCAGGCGCTATGGCGGGGAACAAGAGAAGGAGGAGAACAGAGGAGGGAACGGAAGGTGGAGGAGGGAGGGAGGAAGGGAGGGAGGGAGGATAATGAAGAGGAGGGGTGCTCCTCATTTTCTCCTCATCATCTCTGTTACTTGCTCGTCCTCCTCATCTCCACCCGCCTCAACTTCCTCCCTCTCGTGCCTGGACCTCGTCCCTTCCTGCCTCCAGGACTACAACCAGCTCAAGGAGAAAATGGAAAAGGCGGGTGCCACCTTCCAGGAGTTCGAGAAGATGGACGTCAAGTACACCGAGGATCGGCCGCCTCCGAAGCCAGGGACGAGGAGGAGCAGGGGGAGCTAGGGGCGAAGAGGAGGAGGAGGAGGAGGAGGAGGAGGAGGAGGAGGAGGAGGAGGAGGAGTGAGGAGGAGGAGTGAGGAGGGCGAAGAGGAGGAGGAGGAGGAGGAGGAGGAGGAGGAGTGAGGAAAATGGAATGTGCAGGCGGAGCAGGAGGAGTATCAGAAGGACGCAGGACAGGAATCAGTGCCGACGGGTGCTTAGGCGGCATGATGATGATGGTGGTAATGCTATGATGAGAAGGATGTTGTTGTTGTTGATGATGATGCTGATGATCATGCGGATGAACATGCTGATGATGTTGATGGTGATGGTGATGAGGATGATTGTGCTGCTGGTGGTGCTGATGCTGAACATTCTTATGACAATGCTGATGAAGATGATGACGACGATACTGGTGGTGAGAATGGTGATGATGATGAGGCTGATGAGGCTGATGACGATGATGAGTGTGATTATGATGATGATGATGATGATGATGATGATGATGATGATGATGATGATGATGATGCTGATGATGCTGCTGATGATGATGATGATTATGATGATGATGATGCTGATGATGCTTATGATGATGATGATCGTGGTGATGATGATGATGCTGCTGCCGTACTGATGATGACGATGCTGATGCTGGCGATGCTGATGATGCTGGCGATGCTGATACTGCTGATGATGTTCATTATGATGCTGATACCGATGATGCTGATTAGTATGATGTTCGTACTGATTATGATGATGGTGATGACACTGGTGGTGGTGTTGATGATGATGGTGATAATGATGGTGGTGGTGATGATGATGCTGATGCTGATGGTGCTGCTGATGATGATGATGATGATGATGATGCTACTGATGATGATGATGATGATGATGATGATGCTACTGCTGATGCTGCTGCTGATAGAGACGCCGATGAGTATGCTGATGGTGATGATGATGCTGGTGATGATGGTGGTGATGATGACGCTGTTGATGATGATGCTGATGATGATACTGATGCTGCTGATGATGGTGATGCTGATTATGATCAGGATAATGATGCTGATGAGCATTATGATGATGACGATGTTGATGATGATGATGATGCTGATAATGATGATGATGATGTAGATGATGGTGATGATGATGATGATGATGTAGATGATGGTGATGCTGATGATGATGATGATGATGATGATGATGATGATGATGATAATAATGATGCGGTCGGTGCTTCTGCTTTTGCTGTCGAGGAGAAGGAAGATGAGAAGGAGGATGAGAAGGAGGCGAAGGAAGAGAGCTCAGGGGAAATATGTGTACATGGCGGGGAGGGGCGGATAGGGAGAATGAAGAGGGGGATGATGGCGGGTTGGAGGATGATGCGCATGTTTTTCTGCACTGTCCTGAGGAGAAGTGGAAGGAGCAGCAAGGAAGGAATGGGAGAAGGCCGAGCGCTGAGGTGGGGGTGAGGGGGAGGATAAATAGGAAGAGCTCAGCCGAGGATTGGCCCGCTGCTGAAGCATGACGAGGAGGAGGAAAGAGCTGTAGGAGAAGGAGGAGGAGAAGGAGGAGGAGGGCCGTGCTCAGGTTTGGTGGAGTTCAGGCGGCTCTTGGTGGTTTTCGGATGTAGTCGGGGCCATGGGATGAGTTTAGGTTTGAGGGTGTGGGAGTCAGGAAGAGAAGGAAGTGGAGAAGCAGCAGGAGGAAGAGGAGGGTGGGGATGAGGATCACGAGGAGGAGGAGGGGGAGGAGTAGGAGGAGGAGGAGGAGGAGGAGGAGGAGGAGGAGAAGGAGGAGGGGAAGAGTAGGGAGGAGGCAGAATTAATGCGGCAGACAGGAGGAGGACAAGGAGGAGGAGGAGGAGGAGGAGGAGGAGGAGGAGGACTGGGAGGGGGAGAAGGAGAGGACTAGAGGGAGAGGAGAGGGATGTAAGGAGGACAGGGAGGAAGAGGAAGAGGCAGGGGAGGAGGGGGAGGTAGGGGGGAGGAGAGGAGTTCACTGACAATTTCTTTGCTGCCGCAGCAGAGGATGACTGGGAAGGAACATGTTTTCGAAGCTTGGGGTATTTGTTTCTCTGGTGTTTAAGAAGGTTGTGGGCGAGCTACGGCCGCCCCCTGCTTTTTTACGGGAACGCCCACGTGAAACAGCGTTGCGCGAAGGTCTGGCCCAACATGCCCCGGCGCGACACGCTATCCACTTCCCGGCCTCCCAACGCCAGCGTCCCGAGCCTTTCCGAGCCTCCCGCTCCGCGGTGCTGAGCGACACGATATCCGCTCGCAGGGCATGGCGTGCCGCCGGGGCCGCCGCGGCGACACGCTAAGCAAAAGTTCCTGATCGTATGTGCGTCCCCCAGCCTTATGGAAACCCGTCGGGAAACACGGGGGTTGAAGCGAGAGAAGAGGAGGAGGAGGAGGAGGAGGAGGAGGAGGAGGAGGAGGAGGAGGAGGAGGAGGAGGAGGAGGAGGTCGAGGAGGCGGAGGAGGAGGAGGAGGAGCAGGAGGAGGAGGAGGAGGTTCAGGAGGCGGCCTTTTGAGGGAGTCTGGGGGCTCTCTCGGGGCCTCAAATGTGCTTCCTGGGGGCCTCTTGGGGCCATCCGAGGGGCCTCGTGGAAGTTTCTTGGGGATCTCTCATGGCCTTCTAGGGGGCCTCCTTGGACCGTCTCATGGCACTGGGGACCCGTCTGACGCTGCCGCATTCGGAGGCCGTCCTGGGGGCATCGCTGGGCCCTCTCGGGGCACTTCGGGGCCATCTTGGAGGATTCCTGGGCCAGCTAGAGCACGATGCGGCCATTTGTCAGGAGGGGGGAAAAACACACAGACACAATTCATCGTCGATCCCCAGAACATATGGGGAAATGTGGGAAGTGGAGGGGAAGACAAAAGCCCAGGAAACATGGGAAAGTATGGGGGATCCAGTTATTTGTGTCTCCTTTTTTTGGTGTGTGTGTGTGTGTGTGTGTCCCAGGGCCTCTTCAGTCTTGGGCCAGCGAGGGACGAGGCGGCCCCGAGGCAGCCACGGGCGGGCGCCGGGCGAGACGGACACATCGGCCGTCGGGAGCCTCGAGACGGGGGTCGATGCAAACGGGGGTCAGCGAGAGCGCCCAGTCTTGCAGGATCCTGCACGCCCTCCTCCTCCTCCTCCTCCTCCTCCTCCTCCTCCTCCTCGAGATCTCTCGAGTGAGCCTTGTGCCGCGCGCCCAGGATCACATCATCATCATCATCATCATCATCATCATCATCATCATCATCATCATCATCATCATCATCATCATCGTCATCGTCATCGTCATCGTCATCGTCATCGTCATCATCATCATCATCATCATCATCATCATCATCATCATCATCATCATCATCATCATCCTCATCGTCATCGTCATCGTCATCGTCATCGTCATCGTCGTCGTCGTCGTCGCCGTCGCCGTCGCCGTCGCCGTCATCCTCATCATCATGACTTACCCTCCCCTGGAAAATCCTGTATTATCCCCGCGATAACCCCGCACTTTATGATCCCGGGGGGATGATTATCGCTTGGTTTCGGTTATCCTACATCCTCCGCGGTAAATCCAGGCCATTTTCGGGGGAACGTGAGACTCGGGTAAGCGGGAACTCGGGTTTGCCGACGTTTTTTGACGAGCGCGTCCTGGATGTTGACGACCCAGTTTTCGTGGGATGTTTGCAGTGGGAGCTCGCGTCAGAGTTCAGATTGCGTCTCGTCGTTTTTATTATGGACCCTGTCAGGCCAACCCGCGTCCCCCGTACCCGAGTCTTGCGTCTCCCCGACATTTGCGAGCAGTGACTCTGCGAGCAGAGAGAGACCAGAGGGAGAGGAGAGGACCAGAGGGAGAGGAGAGGGGAGGGAGGAGGACAGGGAGGAAGAGGAAGAGGTGGAGGGGGAGAGAGAGGGGAGGAGGTAGGGGGAGGGGGGAGGCAGTTCACTGACAACTGGTTCGCTGCGGGGCGCGCTCGTCCAGAACCCCCGGCCCACGAGGGGCGAGGCGGCCACGAGGCGGCCACGGGCGGCCACCGGGGCGCAGCGAGCGCCTCGGCCGGCGGGAGCCCCGAGGGCGGGGGCCAGTGCAGAGAGAGAGCAGAGGCGGAGCCAGCAGGGCGGAGCCAAGGGCAGTGGCGCCCTCGAGGGCGCGAAGTGCCTCGCGCTTCGCGCTTCGCGGCTCGGCTCCTCGCCTGCGAGGATGGGAGGGGTTGGCGTCTCTTCCTCGGTGGAAGGCGGCGAACGACCGGCGGAGGGTGGCGGAGGTGAGTTCGGGGCTCAAGAGACGGGAGTCAATGCAAACGGGGGTTTGGGCGCAGGATCCTGCAGGATGACCCGGGTTTGGGTGCAGGATCTTGCAGGATTCTGCAAGGCCTGACTGACCCGGGTCTGAACTGACCTGGGTCAGCAGATCCCCGAGGCCGTTTATTTAGCAACCAGAGCAAGACCCCCTTGGTGAGCGCACTGTTTGGGGAGCTGCCCAAAATGTCCACAAGCACAATTTCCAGGGTTCCCTGCCCAGAGGCATCGAAGAGGAGCGTGAGGACAGAGTTCGTGGGAGATGAAGTGGTTTCTGGGCCCTGAAGTCTCTCCGATATCATTCAGGAGGTGTATCGTCGACTCCTAGGAAGATATGGACAAATATGGGAAGTGGGGGGGAGACGATGGCCCAGAAAAGAGTATACATATACATATATATATGTATAACATACAGGGACTCATGGGATTTGTGCCTATTTCTATGTGTGCCCAAGGGACCATTTGTGCATGCCCCCCTATTATTCTTTCCATGCGTCCCCATGGCCCCGACAAAAGAGGCGGTCCGATGTCGAAGGCATCGGCTCCCACCGAGAGCAGAGCGCAGAAGACTGACCTCTTGTGCAGGTGGAACTGCTTGCATGGGCAGCAAGAGCGAGACTCCCCTGGGCTCCCTCGTCCGCGCACGTACCTCGGGCCACGCTGTGCCACCTCTCTTTCGCTTCCAGGCCCTCCCTCCTCAGCGCACCCAGCATGCAGCACCTCCTGCCTCCCTCTCCCCATCTCCCCCGGCCCGCCCAGTCTCCTTGCTCGCGTGAGACTGCACGCGCAGCCTTTATTTTTGGGATTCGATGCATGCTTCAACTCGTGCACACCACGCGCGCGCCCAATCTCCGTCCGGCGACGAGCACGCGGGGGAAATGAGAAGGAGAAGGTCTTCTCAGAAGGCGGCGGGGCTTCTCGGAAGCCCTCGCGCCTTCCGAGATGGTGTTTGTGTCTTCGGGGAAGGCTTAGGCAACTTCTCAGAAGGCCTGGGGACTTCCGAACTTTCTGAGGCCTTCTCCTTCTCACTTCCCCCCCGCTCGCCGCCGATCTTTGCTCGCATGGGACTGCACGCGCAGCTTGTTGTTGGATTCAGACGTAAACAAATACGTCGACGCATACTTGAACTCGCGCACACCACGCGCGCGCAACATACCACTGCCACTCCAGGAGACAGTGGAGGATTCGATCATTATGCTGATGTTCGCTACTTGACAGCAGTCTTGAAACGTTTGGGGGAAGGTATGTCGGAATAGCTAGAGGCAATGATAATCCTTCGTTTCCCGATTTCCAGTGTTTCGTTTTGTTCCGCCCAGCCAAAAACGAATGGTTCAGTGCGAAAGGCGGGGGCCGCAGGAAATCCCACAAGTGCCAGAACGCATGCTGAGCCAATCGCATGATGACCGCATTCCCGTCCTATGATGACCATCGCAGTCGCACGGTCAGTACAATCGGTGTTCTTTCAGGTGTATCTGCTTGTTGTTAAAGTCAACCTGCATAGTAAGGATGGGCAACCTTCCCAAGGGAACCCTTGCATCCTTGCCTCCTCGGTCCAGCCTTGGCCACTTTCGTTGGCCGCGCCCCGCTCGAAAGGTGCATCTTTACTATACTGCTGGCTGACTGCATACCACTGGCAGAGACTCCGAGAGCGAGACGGGGCACCTCACGAACAGTGGGCTGGCCACGCGGGGAGGCGGGCCCCGAGGCCTTCGCCGTGCGTGGCTCCCTGGGCGCACGGGCCCCGGGACTGCCAGCGCTTCTCACGAATGGCAAGCTGATCCCGGGAACAATCCCTTGGCGTCGCTCGGACGTGTGCATTTTTCCTTCGGCGAGGACCATCGAGGAGCATCCTTGATCAGTTGGCCAAAAAACCACGCACGAAACCGACAAAAACACAGGGAATGGACGTCCGAGCGATGCCCAGATCCCCGGATCCAGGACCAGTTTCCCCAAGGGCGCCCTCGAGGGCGCGAAGTGATTCGCGCGTCTCGCTTAGCGGTTCGGCTCCGATTCCTCCTCATCCTCCTCTTCTCCCCTGGGAGGCGGCGCGAAAGCGCGGAGTTGTTCGCACTTCGCGCTTCGCGCGGCGCGAAGCGCGAAGTTGGGAGCCCTTGTTCCCTCAGGACCCGTCCTGTTTTTCTAGGCCTCCCAGATGGGGTCCGAGCAGATGGGGTCGGAGAATCGCACCGTATCGCCGATGCATCGGCGATGCGACTCGATGTGGAGCCCGATTCTCCCCGCGCCCACGTCGCCGATGCATCGCCGACGTCGCCAGTGCATCGGCGATGCATCGGCGATGCGGCGCGATCCTTCGACCCCATCTGCTCGGACCCCATCTAGGAGGCTTCTAGTTTTATGTTCAGAGTGTCCTGTTGCGTTTCCCTTACACCGTTGGGGCCGTCCCTTCTCGATGGCAGTTCTCATGGCGCCCACGTCGCAGAGCGGATCTGGTGAGAAAAACAATGGGATGGGCCCGGACTGTCCTGGAGAAGTTCGTTCGGATTTGGAGGTGAATCTCGTGCGGATTCTTGTCGGCCAGGAATGAAGACTACGACAAACATCTACGTGACATTCACTTCGTTTTTCGCTCGCCCTTTCGGGGAGCATAAACATCAGCTGCAGCACGTCTGCACTTAGTTGCCTCGATACGCCCGTTTTGAAACACAACACGTCCCGTGTTCAAGACGTCCGTGTCAATACGTTGCGTGTTTGCTCCGCGTATTGGACCACGTGTTGGCGAATGTATCGCGTCGGGCCTACGTTTTCAGCTTACGTCTTGAGCTCCGTATCAATACGATACGTGTTGCGTGTTGCGTATCGGGGCAGCTAAGCGTCTGCAAGGTCGGTGCAGTGACAATTCGTCTTGTCGTTTTGTGAAGTTTGGCCCATCGAGCTGATCACCAGCCCCCAGGCCTCCCAAAAGCCTCCGGCCGAGAGGACATCGCCTTCCAGCAGCAGAAGCTGGACAAGCTGAAGGCAGCGGCGGAGCAGGAGAAGGCGAACGCCAAGAAGCTGCTGGAGGACGCGGAGGACCTGAGGAACGAGGCCCCCACGCGCGAGAAGGACTGGGCGGCACACCCCCCCTGCAGAGCCTTGCGCGGGCGTGTTCGCCTTCGCCAGGGCCGAGGGGCCTCCTCGGATACGTCGGGCGCAGTCTGCCATGGGAGTCGAACGAAGAAACCACAAGGTCGGAGGTTTGGGGAGGAGGGAGGAGGAGGAGGAGGAGCAGGAGGAGGAGGAGGAGGAGGCGGAGGCGGATGATGATGATGATGATGATGAGGAGGAGGAGGAGGAGGAGGAGGAGGAGGAGGAGGAGGAGGAGGGGGGGGGGATGCGTGATGCAGGGAGTTCGGATAGAAGGTTCGCGGAGGGTTTTCGGTGGCTCTGTGAGGCTGGGAGGAGGGGAAGAGTTGAAGCAGGGTTGGCAGAGGTGTGTCTTCCCTCACTGCAGTATCAGTTCTGCCGTCCTTCTTCCGACTCACTCGTCCTCTCTCCTTCTGCCTCCTACCTCATGTTTGCCTCCTACCTTCTCCGTCCTTCCCGCCTGGGGGCTTTAACACTGTCGCCACTTCCCTGGGCGGAGTGGTGCCTCACGCCGACCCAGATTAGACCTCGCCGTCCCCTGCGGGCTGCGAACTGCGAACTTGTCGTCACTTGTATGGATGCCTGGAGGGCCAGCGGAGTTGTGCCTTACGCAGACAGAGACTAGACCTCGCCGCCCCTTGGCTTGCTGCGAACTGTGAGATGACCTTCAACTTCCGCGAACTCCCGGGGGGTCAGCGGAGTTGTGGCCTACGCAAACCCAGATTGGACCTCGCCGTCACGTTGTTGCGAGCTGCGAACTTGTGGCCACTTCCGAGGGCTCCTGGGAGGTCCAGCGGAGTGGTGTCTCTACTTCCGACTTCCGAGTCCCCGCTTATTCTTCTTCCATTATCCTGCATGCGTCTCCGTATTTCTCGTCGTCATCGGTGGTCATCCGGGTTTGGTTTTGCGTTGCCATATTGTGATGTACGTTTTCTCGCAAACTTGTTTGATATGTCGGGCAACGCGCGAGCATCCGATGTAGCTTTCACATTAAAATCGGGTTCCGTGGTCCCTTATTGCAAAAATGGCCGGGCACATCGCAGGGGAGCTTTGAGGAGGGGTGGAGGGCACCAGACGGGTCTGGGGATACTGCGAAGGCGAAGGGGAGGGAACGACGACGAAGGGGTCCCTGTCACTCTCGCCGCCCCTTCGAGCAACCTCCACTAAAAATATCCGTCTGCTAATTTTAAGTCGGGCCTGTCCCTCTACAGGAGGAATATGCAGACATAGTCAACAGCAGTCTGGGGACTCTCTTTTTGGTCTTGCTTGACCATTCCGAGGTATGTTTTGCGTATTTAAATTTTTTCGCCAAAAATCCCTTTGTAGGCGGGCGCGGGCGAGGAGTTGTTGCGCGCGATTGTCTTTGAGTGACATGGCGGGCGGCGCGGTGGCCGCCGCCGCGCCGGGCGCGATGAAGACTGCAGTGACAGTGCCACCTTCGAGCTTGCGCGGTTCTTGGGGGACGACGGGGAGCTGCCGATGGGGGTTTACGCGGCCAACCTGCACGGGTTCGCTCTCTGGGTGGGGGAGCTTGCTGCCTCCTCCCCCTCTCTGGCCGGGTCCTGCCGCGAGCCCGCGGGGCTGCCGGCTGCGCAGCCTGTCGCGCCAGCACGGGGGGCGCGGCCGCTGGCGAGAGGCCTCCGGGGGGGACCTCCTCGAGCCTGGGAGCCCCACACAGCAGTGAGATAGGACGCTCGCGCCCGCGAAAGCTCGAGCTCGCGAACTCATAGGGGGCGCCCGAGAGGCTCGGGACCTGCAAGCGCCGGACACCCGGCCCAGACGCCCGCCCCCTGTGCAGCTGTTGTAAAACGACGCGAAGATCGGCACAAAATCGGATCGGGACAACTCGAAATCTCTGAGCATCGGCGGGCTTGGAGGATGTATTGGGCGCCGCGGCCGCTCCAGAGCGTTCCGGAACGCTCTGAGAGCGCTCCGGAACGCTCTGGAGCGAGTTATCCCGATCCTAGCCCTGTTTTATGTTGCGTGAGGCTCGCTGCGCGGGAGCCCTGACCTGGGGCCACGAGGCAGCGCGCTTTCCTCGGGCCCCCTGTAAAACCAGGGCTAGGATCGGGATAACTCGCTCCAGAGCGTTCCGGAGCGCTCTCAGAGCGTTCCGGAACGCTCTGGAGCGGCCGCGGCGCCCAATACATCCTCCAAGCCCGCCGATTCTCAGAGATTTCGGGTTATCGAAGGATTGCAAAAAAACGAAGGATTGCAAAGGATTGCAAAAAAACGAAGGGTTTTTTTGCAATCCTTCGGTTTGTTTGCAATCCTTCGATCCGATTTTGTCCCGATCTTCGCGTCGTTTTAACACCTGGGAGCCCGGAGAGTCCAGCAATGTGTGGGGGGGCGGCGAGGAGCGGCGTGGGCGGGGGGCCGGCATCTCAGGAGGGACGGGTCGCCGAGCCTGGCCCAGAACTTCTAAACCTGTAGGCGCAGTGGCAGTGAGAAGCTGCACCCTAGGCGATGCTTAAGAAAACCAAAGTTTTCGGCCAGAGTCTCGATTATTCTTGATGTTTCAATAATGTAAATCCCAAGACTTGAATAGACATGCTGGGTTTTTTCTTCAAGTTCTGAGACTATGAATTTCTTAACCCATGATTTCTAGAGCATTTCGCAGGGTGTATGGCGAACAGCCCGGAGCCATGCAAGTGGCACATCGGCATGACGAGTGGCGCGTCGTGGCGCCCAGGCCAGCGGAAACCGCCCCCGAAAAGAAGTCACCCATAGACCCTCGTTGACTTGCTTCTGGCTGCTCAAAGCGCCAGCAATCCAGAGGGTGAAATCCATGTCTTGGCTGTGAACGCAGATCGTCAGCAATCCAGAGGGTGAAGTATCCATGTCTTGCTCGTGCTGTCTCACTTACGGCGCCCGCTGCTACGGCCAGCGGCTTGAAGTTTGCGCACTAGGTTGCCCCGAGGGGCGCGGCCTGCTAGAGTCAAGCCTCCCATCGACCTCAAGGCTTCTGGTATCATGGTCTCCACTGGGACGTTGAGGCCTGGCATCTGGAAAAGCTCGGTGGGCGTCTCCACCGATGTGGCTTGATGAAGCGCGTTCCCCACTTCCTCCAGCGCCTTCATCCTTCCCCTTCTTGTGAGCCAGCACGGCTCCGTGAAACGCTCTTTCGAGATTGCACACGACCATGGTGAGCCTTCCCCCCTCCGTGTCCATCGTAAAGTTGCCCTCGGGGTACCTTCGGTGCTGGCGGCAGGCGACTGGGAGGGCTCAGCATGTCCCTAGTGAGGTCAATCTTGGGGAGCTCTGCCTCGAAGCCCACTCCTGAACGTTCCTGGGGCTTCCCCTCGCTGGTCCACTTGGGATGCACCACGAGCCTAAGGCACTCGGACGGGGTGCTCCATCAGGGCCGGGTGCGCCAAACACGAAGCCTCCAAACACTCCTGGATAGCTGACTCCAGTCTTCTGCCGCCTCGCACAGCACGTCTGTTGAGTCCAGCGGCTCGCGCGCCTGGTAGTCTATCTCGGCGACAATCTCCGATGGGGTCTTGGCGACCGCGGGACAACCACCAGCGAAAGGATCTCGCTGCATCCGTGCTGCCCAGCTGGACGCCGAGGCAGCTGAACCTGGAATGGCCGCGAAGCGTCGTTGCCTCGGGCCGCATGCGCGACAAGCCACGAGCCTTGCAAGTTTCTGGGCCAGGCAGATGTTTTGCTCAGCTGCTGCTCGTTTGATCTCCTCGCACCTCCTCCTCTGAACCCCCTGCCGTTGTTCCTGACTCCTCCTGCCTATCTTACGGTCCAGCTCGCGCATATGTTGTGTGATGTGTTCGCTGTTGCTGCTGCTCTGCTGGCTCTTCATCTCGCGCCTCTCGAGCAGGAGATGCTTACGCTCGTCCAAGTGTGCTCGTGGTGGGACTTGCAAAACAAAGGAAACTCTCTTAACATTGATGTTCTGGTATCGTCAAGAACGCCAAGACAAACCTCGTTCATCCTGTCGAAGTTGCCGTTCTCACGAGCCTGGTTGAAACCCGGCTCCGCCTCTGCGGCGAGGCACTCAGATTCCGTGAATACCTCCATCCTTTTGTGGCCATTCTGAACGCATTGATAAGCGCCTCTCTGTTTGGCCTCGGCCCTCTCAAAGCCATGTGGGTCTCCGCCATGCTCGCGAAGAAGCTGACTGCCATGGGTCTGTGATCTCGATCATCCGAGCTGAAGCCAGCGAGCCGAGTTGAAGAGAACCTGAACCCTCTCCACTGTCCTCGTGAGATCTCTCGGCAGGAACACATGGTCGATGTGGCTGCTGTTCCCCTGATTGGAGACATAGGTCGGCGCGCAATCGAAGTGATTGTTGATGCTGGTCATCTGCCACCCCTCCAGCATGGGGCGAAGCCTAGCAGAGCTAGGCGAGACCTTACCGTGTTCATGGCGTCCTGCTATTTGGTCGTCAGTGCGAATCGGGAATCCACCGTTGATGACACTGCAAATGATGGGCAGTGCTCTGTTTGCCTTGAAGAAGGCCATTGCGTCGGCAAGCCAGTTGTTGAGCGCGCCCAGCGTCCTCTTCGTACTTCGAGCGAGCAAAGCTCATGATCGCCTTGGGACGGCAATAGATCGCGATGGGGCCGATGCTGAGGCATCCACGTCTGAAAAGTACGCCAAGACATCGCCCACACAGGCTCTTGGGCATGGGCAGGATGCGCTTCATCGAGCTGAGGGGGAAGACGAACTTCCTGACGAGAAGAGTGACTCCGCATGCACGTGTCGCCATCCCGCCCCACGATGATACGCAATATGTGCTCCAGTAGGGCCCACCGGTGCGAGCCTCCTCCCACTGCGTCCCCTGGGACTTCAGCTGGGTTCCCGTGAGGTTGATGAAGTCTTGGGCGCGCAGCTCCTGAACGTTATCGTAGAAGCGGGTCCCTGGGGGCAGGAGGCCGCACCGGGACGGGGGACAAACAAAAAACGGGAGGAGAGGGGAGCGGGAGGGGGAGGGGCGCGCGGGGGGGGGAGGGGGGGGGAGGAGGAGGAGGAGGAGGAGGAGGAGGAGGAGGAGGAGGAGGAGGAGGAGGAGGAGGAGGAGGAGGAGGAGGAGGAGGTGGGAGGAGGAGGAGGAGGAGGAGGAGGAGGAGACGAGGAGGAGGGGGATGGGGGAAGAGAAAGGACCTGCGGGTTGTACCGCACAGTGCGGAGCAGTGCGGCCATGGCCGTGGGGCGCTTGGCCGCCGCCCGGCGCGCTGCATCCGCGAGGGGAGCCTAAGCCCCTCGGAAGGCGTGCGCACATGGCCGGTTCGAGAGCGGCGCTCGTGCCGGCGCCGACTCTGAGCCACCTCTGGCGACGGGAAGCATGATGAGGAGCAGGAGGAGGAGGAGGAAGAGGAGGAGGGAAAGGAAGAGGAGTATGAGGAGGAGGAGGAGGAGGAGGAGGAGGAGGGCAAGGAAGAGGAGTATGAGCAGGAGGAGGAGGAGGAGGCAGGACAGGAGATGGGGAGGAGGAGGAGGAGGAGGAGGAGGAGGAGGTGGAGGAGGGCAAGGAAGAGGAGTATGAGCAGGAGGAGGAGGAGGAGGCAGGACAGGAGATGGGGAGGAGGAGGAGGAGGAGGAGGAGGAGGAGGTGGAGGAGGGCAAGGAAGAGGAGTATGAGCAGGAGGAGGAGGAGGAGGGCAAGGAAGACATGGCAAGCTGTGCTTCCGCACGGGGCCCGGGCCTCCAGAGGCCTCAGGGGAGCCAATGGGCGGCCAAGAGAGAAGACCTCCTTGCAACGGCCAGCAGGCGCTCGCCTCGATCCTCGAAGGCCTGGGTGGGAGCTCCGCGGGAGGGCGAGGAGTGAAGGAACCAATGCACGCCAGTCGTTCAAGGCTGGTATTTTTGGGAACCCCAGATCCCAACCTACTTCGAGCGCCCTCCTACTTCCATCGGGGGTGGACAGAAGCCCCAACAGTGACACGTGGGAGTTCAGCAGGAGGGCGAGGAGTGAATGAACCTGGCATCGCTCGGACGTGTGCATTTTTTCTCGGCGAGGACCATCGAGGAGCATCCTTGATCAGTTGGCGAAAAACACACGCACGAGACCGACAAAAAAACAGGGAATGGACGTCCGAGCGATGGCGAGTGAACGGATACACGCCAGTCGTGTAAGGTGGGTACTTTTGGAACCCCAGATCCCAACCTACTTCAAGCGCCTTCCTACTTCAGGAGTCGGTCTGATTTTTGTTATGTGTTGTTGTTATGTGGGAGGGCCTGGACCAAGTCTACTGTATCCGCCTTCCTACTTCATGCTTCTATCCACTTTTTCCGACCGGCGTGTAAGATCCATGGTCCATGTGTGCCTCTGCAGGGCGGCGTTTCCCCTCCATGTGTGCGCTATAGCACCGAGCGTGCGGAAACGCGCTCGAAGTCGGCGGGAGTTCAGCCTTATCGAGAAAGGTCCCCGAGGACAACGAACCAGGAGGACGAGGACGCCAGGGAGGATGAGGAGGATGAGGGGGAAGGCGTCTGCATGCAGAGGCTAGGGCCAGTGGCCGCCCCCAGGGGCCACTCCGATCGGATCGATCGGACTCGATGTCGGTGTCGGCCAGCTCGATCCGGTTCGCTTGCGGTTTTCCGACGGTCCGATGCTGTCCGCTGTCGCCTTTCGTTGATGTGCATCCTGACGAGGTCGGCTCGGTTCGATCTCGACTGCAGGCCACGGGACGCCCTCAGCGGCACGAGAATGATCGAGCGTCGCGCATCGCGGCTTCGGAGGGCGAGGCGTCCTTACCCAGGGCATCGCTGCGAGGTCGCGAAGATATAACCACGCGCCACGCACCGCTGGCCACGACGCGAGCGGTTCGGTGACCTGCGGTCGGGAACTCTTGGATTGCGTGTCGCTCCGCCAGTTCTGGCCCATCACGCTTCTGCGCGGCACGCTGTCCACTTCACACTCCCCGAGCGTCAGCGCTTCGAGCCTGTCTTTTCCACGGCAGACCCTCTCCACAGCTCGGCATGGCAAAGCAAACTCGTATGTACACACCTGCACAGAGCATCTCATGCCAGCGCGGCTGGCTGGCCGAGGCCTTGGCGGTTTGTGTCATACCCTCCTCTGGAAGATCTGGACAGTCCGACTGTTCACGATACCGTCGGGCAGCCGGTTGAACGCGCGTGTCATGCCAAATTTAGACCGCCGCAAAAACTTTGGGCGACCTGGTTCCATCGGGTCAGCCATCTCCTGATCTTGGAAAATATGAGCTGCTGCGAAGGGGAACGACTCAAGCTGGCCTTTCCCAGCCTTTCACCGCGGAGCGGAGCGACACTTCATCCGCTCGCAAGGCATAGCGTGTCCCCGGGGCTGCCAAGGCAGCACGCTATCGAAAGGTTCATGACCGTAGAAGTCGACGCAGAGCCCGAACCGATGCACTTGCTGACCCCATCCGACTTCCCCACTCGATGCTAGTGGCTGACGATGGGCCCCCCGCCGGCGCAGCTCCTGTCCGCGGCAGGAGCTGGAGAGCGCCAAGCGCTTCAGGGCGAGCCAGGAGGAGAAGCTCGAGAAGATCAAGAGTGGCCTAAAGGCGGGCGAGCGGTTCCTTCTGAGGTGCTGGGGGGACCCAGAGCTCCCTTCGCGTCCTGTTGGAAGCACGACGGGCCGACGGGAGGTTGTTGGCAGTTTTCGGCCTCCGTGGGCCCTTGCTGGGCCTCCTTCCTGACCGAAGGACAGCATCCCAGGATGAAAAGCCCGTCCCCAGGAATGTGTCCAGACCTCTGGGGGTCCACGCTACGAATAGCAACATTGCGTCGGGGGTCTGGGTCTGTTCGGGTTGTACACGCTGGCATGAAGTTATTTCATCTAGAGTCCTGGCGTCTATGCCCCTAAAGAGGTTCGGAGCTTATGAGACGGGGGTGAATGCAAACTGGGGTCAGCCAGGGCACTGGATCCGGCGGGATCCTGCGAAGCCCCCCCTCCCCCTTGGCTGACCCGGGTTAGCGAGCCGCTCGTGGCCGCGAGGCGGCCGCGCATGTTGGCGGACCCGGGTGTGCGAAGCCCTGCGCTGCAGTTTGCTCTTCCTGCACTGCAGTTGCCTGGTTTCCTGCAGACCCGGGTCTGATTGACCCGGGCTAGGAGATCCCCGAGAGGTCGACGACCTTCTGTCGGGGGCCCCCAAACGGGGTGGTGACCACACCGTGTGGTGAGTCGGTGGGGACTCGGGGTCACCGCACGGTTTTGGGACTCGAGTCCCTCTCCGAGGATGTCTCGGGCGACAGGGGCCTCCGAGGTCCCAAAGCCGTGCGTCGACGGACCGTGCGGTGAGGTCTTGGGAGACTTCGAGGTCACCGCACGGTCTGTCATCGCACCGTTTCTTTGGACGCCCGGAATGAGTACGGAACACATGGGTACAATGCCCAACAACAAATGTTGTTCCAAATCCACAGCGGCCGCTTCTGGGCAGGCGGTTTCCTGTCTCAGATGGGCACGGGCCGCGGCGGCGCGGAGAGCGAGTCTTGCTCAAAGTGAGCAGGAACTGCTGTTGGGCATCGTACCCATTCTTCCCGTACCCATTCCGTTCGTGCTGAGTTTCGGGACTCCCAGTTCTGCTGCAGCGGCCCAGAGCGAGGTGGCGTGCGTCGCGTCGCTCTCAAGGCCTACCATCCGGGTGGCCAGCAGTGGGGGCAGGCGTGGTGGCCCGATCTCTCTACCACCACCACTGCCATTGGGCAGGACAGGAGGAGGAGGAGGAGGAGGAGGAGGAGGAGGAGGAGGAGGAGGAGGAGGAGGAGGAGGAGGAGGAGGAGGGGGAGGGGGAGGAGGAGGAGGGGGAGGGGGAAGAGGAGGAGGAGGAGGAGGAGGAGGAGGAGGAGGAGGGGGAGGAGGAGGAAGAGGAGGAGGAGGGCCTCCCCATGCTCCCCTCTCCCCCGTCCTGCTGATGGTCATGGTGGTGGGAGATCGGCCCATCAGGACGAGTACGCTTCGTGCCATCCCCAGCTTTGGAGCTGTGCCCTTCTGTTTTTTCGTGCTCGGGAGGTCCATCTCGGAGTGTTCTCTTTGTTTCGGGCATCTCCATGGCGGCCTTGGGCCGTCTGTCGAAGGTGCTCACGTTCTTGACCCGCGTTCTCGTGGCCATCTGTCGACCGTCATACCTTTACTTGTGCATGCTTCTGGTTGGCGAATCACCTTGTTGGGTACACATGGTTAATTTCCAAGTATTCGAAATTTATGGATGTTTTGGGGGCCAAGATCCTTTCAGTTCCACTTGTTCTATCCTGGGCCTCGTCCTGGCCACTAGGGGGCCAGAAAAAATCAGAAACGAGCGCGATTATAAATGAGCACGATTAGAAATGAACGACGTGTAGCCTTCAGACGTTATCCACGAGTCGTTTCGAACAGCCGTTCGAGCGGAATCAATGTTTGCCAGCGTGGACTTGTTACAGGGGGTGCGATATACAGTTTTCCCCACTTGCTGTTCGCTGTAGTGATCTAACAGTGTTGGAATTGATCCAGGGTCTCCCAAGGGGTCCCTGCGGATGCCGTCGTGGTGCTGGGCGTGTTTTTGTGCGTAGGGTGCCTCGTAGGCGGCCATGCCATAATTTTTTCACATCGTCCCCAAACCACTGATGTCGAGTAATTTTGATGCTGGGACTCTTCTCTTCACCCCATTGCTTACCTCCCCTTCCTGCCTCCTCTTCCCCCCTCCTCCTCTTCCATGCTCTCGTCGTCGTCCTCGTCTTCCTCCTCGCTCTCCGCATTTTGCTGCCAGGGGCAAAGGTCCACTTCGCTCTGGTCGATCTGGTCCGACATCGATCGATCCGATTCGATTCCGACTTCCCGGCGATCCGATGCGGCCCGCTGCTCGCATGGCGCTGTTGTATGGATCTTGGCGCGGAGGGCCCGCTGCGACTCCGACCCCGTGCCGCTGCATCCCGATGCGAAATGCCAAGCCCGACGCGACCCGACCTCACGATCCTCCTCCTCCTCCTCCTCCTCCTCCTCCTCCTCCTCCTCCTCCTCCTCCCACTTCTCCTCCCCTCCTCCTCCTCCCTCTCTCCTTCCCTCCCCCTTCCCCTCCTCTCCTCCTCCCCCTCCCCCTTCCTCCTCCTCCTCCTCTCCTCTCTCCTCCTCCTCCTCCTCCCCTCGATGCTGGGTGCTGCTGCTCGCGGGCAGCCCGTGCTCTCCAGCCCCCCCCCCTCTCCGTGCCGCCTGCCGTGCCGCTCGAGCCCCGAGGCCGCGCCCGCCCCCTCGCGCGCGACTCTGCGAGAGGGAGAGGAGGAGGAAGGAGGGGGAGGAGAGGGGAGGAGGAGGAGGAGGAGGAGAGGAGGAGGAGGAGGAGGAGGAGGAGGAGGAGGAGTTTTTGGAGGAGGGAGGAGGAGGAGAGGAGGAGGAGGAGGAGGAGGGGGAGGAGGAGGAGGAGGGGGAGGAGGAGGAGGAGGAGGAGGAGGAGGAGGAGGAGGAGGAGGAGGAGGAGGAGGAGGAGGAGGCACGTGCCCGCCCCGTGCGGGCGGGACCCCCTCCGAGTGGCACGCGAGCGGAGCACAGTCGGGGCGCTGAAGAAGGAGCCCTTTTCGTCGGGGAGGGGCTCCGTGTGCCTGGCTGGCTTCACAGCCTGCCCCTGGGTTTTCCTCAGGTCTTCGATGGGAAATCTCGAACCCTCACTGAGGGGAAAAAGGAGCCTCGTTCCTTCTTTAGGGCTCCTTAGGTCAACGTCCCGACTGTATCGCCCCCGGGCGTTTCTGCGCCCACCGCCGCAGCCTCCACCTCTCGGGGGCCGGCCGCCCAACGCTTTTGCTTCTCTTGCGCTCCGGCTCTCTGGCCTCGACGCCGCGACCGAGGTCGCGACGCCCAACAGTGCGTGTGTGTATATAAGTGTAAGTGTAAGTGTTAGTGTTAGTGTTAGTGTTAGTGTTAGTGATAGTGCTAGTGTTAGTGTTAGTGTTAGTGTTAGTGTTAGTGTTAGTGTTAGTGTAAGTGTAAGTGTAAGTGTAAGTGTAAGTGTAAGTGTAAGTGTAAGTGTAAGTGTAAGTGTAAGTGTAAGTGCGTGCGTGCGTGTGTGTTCTGCTCGAGCTCGTCGCAGACGGGCGCCGGGGACGGACCAGGAGGGAACAAAAACACAGGGACACAATGAATCGGCGATCCCCAGGAAAATTTGGGAAACTATGGGAACTGGGGGGGAAGACGAAGGCCCAGAAAAGATGGGAAAATACGGGCAATCCTTTTATTTGTGTGTATTTATCTGTGTGTCCCAGGGCCCCTTCACTGGGGTGCGCGGCGGCCGCTCCCCCCACGCCGCGCGAGGGCAAGGCCGAGGAGCTGCGGCCCCTGAAGGAGGCGAAGGAGGCGCCGCGGCGGCGCCCCGCCGCCCGTAGCGCGCTCCCTCGGGGGGGGCCGCCGCCGCGGGTCGCGGCACGGACGCCCATGATTCGGGCCGGACCCTCGTCCTCCTCCTCCTCCTCCTCCTCCTCCTCCTCCTCCTCCTCCTACTCCTCCTCCTCCTCATCATCCCCCTCCCCCTCCTTCATATTCTCCTCTCCTCCTCCTCCTCCTCCTCCTCTCCTCGTCCTCCTCCTCCCCCTCCCCCTCCTTCGTATTCTCGTCCTCCTCCTCCTCCTCGTCCTCCTCCTCCTCCTCCGCCTCCTCCTCTTCCTCCTCCTCCTCCTCCTACACGTGCACGAATCCACGCGGGTTTCGAGAGTTCGCATTGCGCGAATGTTCGTACCACGTGGCCGGTCTCGCGGGTTAGAGGGTCGGGCCGGACGAAAGGGAGGGGATTGGGAAAGGGGGAGTTACAAAATCTGCTGCATGCAGCTGGTTTCGGCCTTACCGAGGGGCCCATTCCTCGATGCATAGCCGCCTCCGGCGCCGGGCGGCGCCAAGAGAATCAGCTACGCGAGCTGATTCTCAACCTTCCCCTTTATTATCCCCCCCTTTCGCCCGACACGAACAGACGCCTTTTACCATCGATCTCCTTACCCACGTCTCTATCGATCCCAGCATCGATCTCACGACTGATATCACAGTCGATTCACCATCGACATCATTACAGATCGCACGGGCGACTTAACGATCGATCTCCCTATCGATTCTATAGGCGTACGCCACATCCGCCGACCCCTTTGTTCGAAAAGCGTTGTGGTTTCTCTGGTGTCGCATGCAGTGTCGGCACCATTCTCCTGCAATGTTGCGTGCAGCGTGTGGTCGTGAGGAGGAGGAAGAGGAGAAGGATGAGAAGGAGGAGGAGGAGGAGGAGGAGGAGGTGATCGCGGGGATCTCTTGGGGGGCTTCTCGCGGGACTCTTGGAGGCAGTTTCGAAGCCTCTTGGGGGCCGTGTTGGGGCCGTTTGGGGCCCTCTTGTGGGCCTTTTGGGGCTTCTTAGGGGCGTCTTGGGGGCCTCTTGGGGCCTCTTGGGGCCTTCTTGGGTCGTCTTGGGGCGGAAGGTTCGGATTGTCGGTTCAAGCTCCCCCTCTTGGGCCCCTCTTGGGGCCGTCTCGGGGCCCTCTTGGGCCGTCTTGGGGGCCTCTTGGGCCGTCTTGGCGCCCTCTTGGGCCGACTTGGGCGCCTCTTGGGGGCCTCTTGGGCCGTCTTGGGGCGGTCTTGGGTTGCTCTTGGACCGTCTTCAACGCCGTAAAGTCCGACAAGTCGTACATGATGAACATGTTCGTTTTCCCATAGGCGTTTGATGATTTTCGGCTCTTCGGCCCTTCTGAGGACTGTTCTTGGAGGCCTCTTGGGCCGTCTTGGAGGCCTCTTGGCTCGCCTTGGGACCATCTTGGCATCTTGGAGCGCTCGTTTGGGCCGTCTTGGGGCGGGAGGCTCGGATTGTCGGTTCAAGCTCCCCCTCTTGGGCCCCTCTTGGGGCCCTCTTGGGGCCCTCTTGGGCCGTCTTGGGGGCCTCTTGGGCCGTATTGGCGCCCTCTTGGGCCGACTTGGGCGCCTCTTGGGGGCCTCATGGGCCGTCTTGGGGCGGTCTTGGGGTGCTCTTGGACCGTCTTCAACGCCGTAAAGGCCGACAAGTCGTACATGATGAACATGTACGTTTTCCCATAGGGAGTTAAATGATTTTCGGCTCTTCGGCCCTTCTGAGGACTGTTCTTGGAGGCCTCTTGGGCCGTCTTGGAGGCCTCCTGGCTCGTCTTGGGGCCATCTTGGGCGTCTTGGAGCGCTCGTTTGGGCCGTCTTGGGGCGGAAGGCTCGGATTGTCGGTTCAAGCTCCACCTCTCGATTTCATTGAATCGACTTCACTAGTGGTCTTACGATCGTCACTCGGCCTCCCCAGCAAGAGTGGGTCGGAGCAGATCGGGCTCGCCGATGCATCGGCGTTGCGGCTCGATGTGGAGCCCGAGTTCTCCGCGCTGGCATCGCCGATGCACCGCCGCCGCCGCCGATGCATCGCCGATGTATCGGCGATGCGGCGCGATGCTCCGACCCTATTTGCTCGAGCCCATCTACACACTGTTCATTCCTAAGTCTTCGAAGGTTCTTTGCCTATCCGTGGGGCCCAGACCCTTTCATGTCTCGTTGTTCTCCCTGGGTCTCTTCCTGGCCACCAGGACCAATGAGCGACGAGCACATTTAGAAGTGAGCACGACTAGAAAGGAGCGACGTGTAGGAGACCTCCAAATGTCGAGTCCTGTGCGGCAAGGCATCGGGTGTCAAGATCGATGGGGAAGCGGAGACCCCCTCCCTCGCAGGAGCGGGCGTCTAGTTCGCAGCGCTTCGCGCCCCCTTTCCAGCACGGTCGTCCGCGCCAATTTTGAGACACGAGGTGCTGGGGGGGGGCTCTTCTCGGCGGCGAGCGAGGGGGGGGCGTGAGGAGGAGGAGGCCTCCTCGGAAGGCTCGGAAGTCCCACGGCCTCCAGAGAAGTGTTCTGAGCCTGCCCCGAGGACGCAAACCAAACTCAGAAGGCGCGAGGGCTTCTGAGAAGTCCCTCCGCCTTCTGAGGAGGCCTTCTCCTCCTCCCCCCCCCCGTTCGCTCGCCACCGATCTTCCGTACCTCACAGGTGGGCGTCTGGCCTGCAAGCCGCGGTGGAAACCCCCACCTTGCCGAGTCCGTCTGCGAGTTTTGCCCTGCCCCAGCTCATCATCATCATCATCATCATCATCATCATCATCATCATCATCATCATCATCATCATCAGCAGCAGCAGCAGCAGCAGCAGCATCAGCATCAGCATCAGCATCAGCATCATCATCAGCAGCATCATCAGCATCATCAGCATCATCAGCATCATCAGCATCAGCATCAGCATCAGCATCATCATCATCATCATCATCATCATCATCATCATCATCATCATCATCATTATCATCATTATCATCATCATCATCATCATCGTCGTCATCATCCTCAGCTGTCGTCATCATCATCATCATCATCATCATCATCATCCTCATTCATCACCATCATCATGATCCTCCTCCTCCTCCTCCTCAACCTCCTCCTCCTTCCTCCTCCTCCTCCCCTCCTCCTCCTCCCCTCTTCTCCTCCTCCTTCTCCTTCCCCCCCTCCTCCTCCTCCTCCTGCTCCTCCTCCTCCTCCTCACCCGCCTCCCCTCCTCCTCCTCCCTCCTCCTCCTCCTCCTCCTCCTCCTCCTCCTCCTCCTCCTCCTCCTCCTCCTCCTCCTCCTCCTCCCCCTCTCCCCCTCCTCCTCCTCCTCCTCCTCCTCCTCCTCCTCCTCCTCCTCCTCCTCCTCCTCCTCCTCCTCCTCCTCCTCCTCCTCCTCCTCCTCCTCCTCCTCCTCCTCCTCCTCCCCCTCCCCCTCGATGAGGTGCCGCGGCCGCCACTCGCGCGGGCCTGCTCCCGCCGGGGCCTGGTCCCGGGCCGGTTTCCCTGGAGGGGCGGCTGGCTTCGGGCGCGGCCAGGCTGACGTCGGGCAGGTCCCTCTGCTGGAGGGCAAGTAGACAGTAACAGTAGTCAACAGACATAGTCTGGAGACGACGCTTCGACCATTTTGAATATGTTTCTGAGCATTTTTGTTGCTAAGTTTGCATTGGTCGCCCAAGATCCGCCTGTAGGGGGGGCATGCCCGACCTAAGGCTAGGACCAGGAGGAACCGTTCCCGAACGCTCTCAGAGCGTTCTGGAACGCCGCGGCCCCCGATGAGCACATCATCCTGGACCGCCGCACCTCAGACATCCCCGACTTGATTTGGCCCGATGTTGTCCTGGTCCTGGCTTTGCCTGACTTCTTGTCCACCCCCGACTCCCGCCCCCTGCGGATCCATCTGGGCGCAGCGTCGACGGGTTCAGCGCCAATTGAGGTGCAGCCGATCCCCTCTGGCAGACCAGGGCTTTCGGGGGCCACGATCGGGTGCAGGAGCACGCACGGCCATGCTGCAGTCAATACGCCGAAATGAGGACTTCGCTAGGCTCGGGAGGGGTTCTGGGGCTTGGGCCGTTCCTGAGATTCGGGTCGGGGAGGCGGAGAAGGAGGAGGAGGAGGAGGAGGAGGAGGAGGCAGAGGAGGAGGAAAGCCAGGAGGAGGAGAAAGAGGAGCAGGAAGAGGAGGAGGAGGAGGAGGAGGAGGAGCAGCAGCAGCAGGAGGAGGAGAAGGAAAAGGAAGAGAAGGTTCGCGGCCCAGGTTCGTCGTGGCCAGAAAAAAGCCCCTTCGTTCCTCCTAGAGCTGTTTTCTTTGGGTCGCACGGCGCATGTACTATGGCTGCAGTCGCCACCCCGCACAGTGTGGTGGAAGTTCAGCGGGCTACGCGTGCGAGCGTGCGACGTCCAACGAGTTATGTGCATGAAGTTCTGGGCGGAAGTCCAGACACCTGAGAGCAAATGTGTGCGGCTACCACGTGCGGCGCGACCCAGGACGGTCCTCGCCTTCGAGGGATCCAGAAGTTGTCCTCTTTCTCTGCGGGGAGGCTGGCGGAAGCCGGCGGAAGTGATTTTTGGGGCAGCCCGGAGGAATAGGAGCAGGAGCTAACGCGGATTCACAAATGTGAAGCGTGGTTAGTCTCTCTGCACCCTCCCTCCGCACTTGCTTGCATCCGTCTCACTTCCCCCTCTGCTCCCCTTGTCTTATCCGCAGCCTTTTGGGTCACAGGGGGGACCGCTTGTCCCGCCCTCCCACCCTCTTTTTCCCTCTGGCGCCGCTGCGCCTGGGGGCCGGGGTGTGACCTCGTGTGCGCGACTTGGCCAATGAAGAAAAGAACGCGTAGGAGGAGGAAAAGGAGCAGGAGCTAACGGGGTTCGGCCAGAGCGTTGGCTTTTGCAGAGACCTGCAATGCCAGGTTTGGGTTGCGTTTGGTTTGGGAGCCACTCGCGGCCATGGAGGTGGCCCCACATTTAAGTCGGGCTTGTTCTCCGACAGAGGAATTTTGAACGCAAAATGAATAATAGGACAAAAACTAGTCCAAACATCGTCCCCAGATTATTTTTTGGCTATGTTTGACTATTCGTCCTGTAGAGGGACAGGCCCGACTTCATCCTACATTTTGGCTGAGCAGGGGGTGGGAGCCCCCACATAATTGCAGCGCAGTTTTCTAATTGAATCGCTTCGCTCATTCCGCCGGCCCGTGATATGGCATCGCTGGTTTTTGTCTGTGTGTTCGTTGCCCATGTTGCGCTCTTGGGGGCGGGTGTCGTTCGGACGCGTTGCGTGGGGAGTTTTGATGGTGAAGCAGTTCCCTGGGGGTCGTCTCTCGATGGGGCGAAATAGAGTCGTCGTCAAGATGCTTCTTTGGGGGGCCTCTTGGGGTCTGTTGAGAGGCCGTTCGGGGGCGCCTGGGAGACATGTTTGAAGCCTTCTGGGGCTTCTTTTGGGCCTCCTGGGAGTCTCCTGGGGCCTCTTGGCGACATCTTGGGGCCTCTTGGAGGCCTCTTGGGGCCTCTTTGGGACCTCCTGGGCGCCTTCTGGGACGGAGGGCTCCATTTTTGAGTTCTCGGTATCCCTCCTGAGTCCCTCTTGGGCCCGTCTTGGGGCCTCTTGGTCCGTCTTGGGCGGCACTTGGGCCGTCTTGAGGGCTCTCTTGGGTCGTTTCGGCGCCGTCTTGGGAGCTTCGTGGGCCGTCTTGGAGCGGTCTTGGGGGCCTCTTGGGCCGTCTTGGAGCGTCCGGAAGCCGAAAAAGCCAGAACACAAAAAACATAGAAAAAACAATGAAAATCAACGATTTTGGCCTCTTGGGGCTCTCTTCGGAGGCCTCTTGGAAGGCTCTTGGGGCGTCTTGGAGGCCTCTTGGGCTGTCTTGGGGGCCTTTTGGGCCGTCTTGGGGTCATCTTCGGCGTCTTCGAGCGCTCTTTGGGCGTCTCGGGGGCCTCTTGGGCAGTCTTGGGGGCCTCTTGGGGCACTCTGAGCGCGCTCTGGGGAGCCTGAGAGGCCGCACCCAGAAGGAAAACCATCTCTGAGTAGACTTGGTCGGGCGGCGACCGGGCGTTGGTCGGGGTACTTTTCGCCGGGGGACCCCCAGGGGCCGCCCCGCGCGCGCGAACTAGAAATACTGTTAATACTGTTAACCAGTTACCGGAGATCTTAGCACGCCCTGGCCCGTTGGGCCGGCGAATTTGGTTGAGCCAGGTTTTTATTAAAGTGGATTAGTCCACACCCGCGCGACTCCGATGGCAGAAGGCTAGCAGAAGCAGGCGGAAGCAAACGACCAGCCCAAGGTTTCGAAAACGGCCGTGCGGGGCTGACCCGAGCCACCCTTGCGCTGGGCTTCGTTGGATGACGAAAGGGGAGCAAGCTCTCCTCCCCTGCCTCCGATGGCCCATGTTTGAGAGCTTTTTAGCGGCCAGCCCAAGTTCGCGACATGGCCCAGCCGTCGGTTGTTGACGGGGCAGGCTCCGATAGGTCGCCGATCTGTGGTGAGGCCAGTCCACCAGCTCGCAAACATCTCGGAGGAGGCCGAGGAGGAGGAGGAGGAGGAGGAGGAGGAGGAGGAGGAGGGAGAAGATTGTGGTGGAGGCGATGTTGGCGACGTTCACAAGGGGGTGGCGCGAGGGGGACGACATTCCAAGAAGCCGCGGGAGCTTCTTTGAAGGCATGGGTCCTCTTAGACGGCCCCTACCTTACAAGCTCCCCCGGCGCCACCCCCTTGTCTGCGCCCCCAGTATTTGGACATGCGGAGTTTGTGAGGCCCAGTTGGTGCCGATTCAGAAGAAGCTCACCGAGGTCCGCAAGGTTGTCGACGTGGCGAAGACGGAGGCCGATTTCATACGGGAGAAGACCGAAGGTCTGGGGCCAGAAGTGGCTGGACCCATGTACCAGACTATAAAAGAGGCTGAATGCATTGGATGGCGCCAGCTCGAGCTTGGGCGAGAGCTGGATGCTCGTGTGGCCGCCTGTGTTTTCAACGCTCGGCCCTCGCGTGGCCAGGTACGCTGGCCCTCCGTGTGCGGTGCGGGGTCTTTTTGGCGTTCCCTGCACTTGCACACTACAGTCAACGCGCCTAGTAAGGACGCGCGCCTTCATCTAGGGTACCCTTGTGTCCTTGCCTCTGAGGCCCGTCCTTGCCATTAGCACTGGTCGCACGCCGCCCTAAAAAACCCAACTTCGGCCTCCAAGGGTCTTGCGTCCTTATCACACGTCCTTAATACACGTTTTGACTGTACTGCCGCGTGTGTTCTCTCGGGCTCCTGGCCCGCGCCTCTCTTGCTCACCTCCCGTGTGCCTTTCTCCTGCCCTCCATCCTCTTGGGGGTCGGGGCGGCGGATGGAGGCGGGGGCCTCCTGGCTCTGTGCGCAGGGGTCGCCAAGCAGATCGAGGAGATCAAGGGGCAGCACGAGCAGTGCAGCGAGACGCTCAGAGCCCGACAGGAGGACGCCAAGGAGGCGTCCAAGCGGAAGACGTACTCGCTGAGGCCGAACGGCCGCCCCGCTCAGGGTCCATCATCCGGCTCGATTCGATTTTTGATATTCCGACGATCCGATGCGACCCGGTGTGGCTGCGTGGCGTGGTTGTGCATGCAGGCGCGGCCGATCCGATTCGACATTAGCTTTGTGCCGGATGCGGCCCTGTCTGACGTGCGTCCATACACATACACATACACATACATAGATTCATACACATACACATACACATACACATACACATACACATGCACATGCACATGCACATGCACATGCACATTCACATACACACGCCACATACACACGCACGCACGCACGCACGCACAGACATACACACACACACACACACGCACCCGCACGAACGCACGCACGCACACGCACACGCACACGCACACGCACACACACACACACACACACACTCACACACACGCACGCACGCACGCACGCACGCACGCACGCACGCACGCACACACACACACACAAACGCACGCACCCACGCACGCACGCACGCACGCACATGCACTCACGCACACACACACACACAACCACACACACACACACACACACACACGCACACACACGCACATACACACACACACACACACACACACACACACACGCCGAGCCCCAGGCTGGTCGGCGAGGGCAGGAAGAAGCTGGAGGCGACGAGCGCGCAGATCGAGCAGCTCGGCCGCGAGCTCGGAGGGCTTGCGGGCCCAGATCTCCGCAGTGTGGGAGGGAGCAAAGGCGCAGAGGCTTCTTGCTGCGTTCGGTCTCCAGAGCTTTTCGCTGAGCCCCAGGGCGGCGAAGGCACCTATTCAGGACGGAAGACTGGACCCGCGGAAGGTGCTGAACAAACTCAAGGTGTCGGATCTCTGGGGAGGGCTCGCACGGGGGGGGGGGCTCAGAGAAGAGCCTCCGAGGGAGGCCTCAGGCCAGGGGCAGCGATGGGGAGGGGGGGGGGCGCAGGGGGGATGCATGGGCCCCCAGGCAGGGGTCGATAGCCCACCCCGACCAGTAGCGTGCGGTTGTGCTATCGGGGAGCGCTGGGCCGCCGATTTCGGGGGCTTGGGCTCCACATGCAAAGCGCACTTCCAGGCCAGCTCTACGTCGGGCATGTCCCACTACAGGAGGAATATTAGAGAATAGTCAAAACAAAACAACGGGGACGATGTTTTACACTGCTTTCAAATATTGTCGAGCATTTTTTAAAATAATTTTCTCTCCGTGAGGGCTTCGCCCCCATGCCGCCGGCCCCCCTCTCTTAGAAGGGACTTGCCAGAGCTGTGATGGAATGTTTGTGACGCTGAGGTGAAGCAATGTCGGGACTTCACGCGAGGGCCAATATTAATTTACGATGGTTTATGGCTTCGGTGGCGCGAATCTGAGGTAATTTACTATGGTGTATGGTTCCGGGGACGCGAATATTGCGTATTCTACAAGGGGTTATTGCATCGGGGATGCAAATATTATACAACTTACAAAGGTTGATGGTCTCGGGAACGCAAATATTGTATAATGCACACCGTTTTATGGCCTCGGGGACGCGAATACGGTGTAATTTGTGAGGGTGTGTGGCCTCGGGGACGCAAGTGTGATGTAACGTTGTAAGGTTTATGGCTTCGGGGGCGAGAGTATCATATTTTCTACGAGGGTTCATGGCTTCGGTGGCGCGAACATCAGGTAATTCACCATGGTTTTTGTTTTCGGGAACGCGAATATTGTGCGAATTGCAAGGGTGTGTTGCCTCGGGGACGCAACTATTGTATAATTTACCAGGGGCGATGGCCTCGGGGGCGCAAATATTGCAAAATGTGCACCGGCTTATGGCCTCGGGGACGCGAGTACAGTGTAATTTGCGAGGGTCTGTGGCCTCGGAGACGCAAGTGTGGTGTAATTGTTTAAGGTTTATGGTTTCGGGGACGCGGATATTGCATACTACGAGGGTTTGTGGCTTCGGGGGAAGCGAACATTGTTTAACTTACAGAAGGATTATGGCTTGGGGAACGCGAGCATCGTGTAATTTAGAAGGGTTTGTGGCCTCGGGGACGCAAACATTGTAATTTACAAGGGGCTGTGGCCTCGGGGGCTCAAATATTGCAAAGCGTACACAGTTTTATGACCTCGGGGACGCGAATACGGTGAAATTTGCGAGGGTGTGTGGCCTCGGGGACGCAAGTGTGGTGTAATTGATTTTAATGTTTAATTTTCGAAGGTTTATGTTTTCGGGGGCGCGAGTATCATATAATTGTTGTGGATGTATGGTCTCGGGGGCGCGAATATCGGGACATTTCAGATGGTTTATGGTTGCGGGGATACGAATACCGGTTAACTTACTCAGGTTCAATGGCTTCGGGGACGCTGCTGGTTTGGGGTTCCCCCCTCGCGCGTTCAGCAACAATTAACAGGTCGGAAGCAGAAATCAAGATTGTAACAGTGGAAACTGGAAACTGCAACTGGAACAGGGAGCTGCAATCCTCACCCTCGCAGCCTGGTGGCCCCGCAAGGAGGCTGGCTGATTTTTCGTCAAAAATCCGCCTGTAGGGGGACATGCCCGACTTAAGGCAAGCTGTTCAGGGAGCAGTGGAACAAAAACGGAGGGAAACAAAACAGCAAAACAGCACGAACAGACAAAGATGGTTCAGAGCGGAGTCGACGCGCAGAGGCCTCCGGAGGCCTTTCTAGGCCTCTGGCGACCTCCCGGGAATGCTGGTCATGCGATTAAGTTCGGTCCAGTTGGGATGGGTATGGAAAGAATGGGTAACAAGACTGACAGCAGATCCTGCTCAAGTTGAGACAGAGTTCGCTGTCTGTGCCGCCGCGAGCGTTATCAATTTGAGGCAGACGGCCGCCTGCCAAACAGCGGCCGCTGTCGTTTTTTTTTCTGATTTCAGGCACGCCACGAGGCAGATAGGAGCTTCCTGACGCAGGGCTGCAGAGCGCCAGCCGCCAGAGCCCAAGAACTCTTCTGCCTGCTCCAGACACTTGGATTTGAGCCGAGCTTGCCACCAGCGGGGGTTCCTGGGGTGTGCGGGCGTGTTGGAAGCGGGCGCGTGCAGTGCAAGAAAGACTTGGCGACCTGGCTGCTCGTGGTGCGATCGCCTCACTGCTGCAACAGAGGTTGGTGAAGCAGGGCAGTCATCCAGACAAAGTTGGGTAAATTCACGACTATTCGCGTATCCGCACTAGCCCATCCAGAAACGATGCCCAGGCGAGTTACCTCTCAGAGTCTCCTCGGGTGTCTCTCGGACGCTTTTTGGAGGTTCTAATCATCTGTGTTTTACATGTGTTCTTTTAGATTGGGTTTCTCTTGGGGCACGAATCCCTTTTTGTGCCTTACGTATGTTCCTGTAGATTGCCAAGGACCTTGTGGCTCCACTCCTACGGTGTGTTTTTCCATTGTATAGTTCGGGCATTTCTTGGGGCACGATTGCTTGGTGTTCTACGTATGTTTATAGATATTGCCACCTCTTGTGGCTCCCGCACCAGATGTCTTACGCATATTCCCCCCATCGATTGTGCCGTTGTTTTCCGTGGCGTGGCTGGATGTATCGCGGTCCAGCCATTGCGTGAACTCCTTTTTGGCCAGCCAACGAAGCCCAGGGGTGTCGCGCAGGCTTTGCATGAGCACCCCTATTCTTATGATGCTCCAGCCTACTTTAGCCCTGATCACCAGAAAGAATTTCGACTGCCAGAACAATATCGAAACTGTAGGGTTTTCAAGTGTCGGGCCCTGGGAGACAATCGCCCGACACTGTTTCGACACTCTTTTGACACTTTTCCGGGTGCTCGAAATTATTTCTGGGATGTGGTCCTTAAGCAGGATGGGGAACAGCATAACCTTATTCCTTGCTTCATCATAGAGAGAGATTGCGTATCCATGTCGATTCAGTCATGCCCAGGCCACTGCCGCGCCGATGCGGTCAACCTAGGCTTAGACATACTCCGACTCATGCGCATAGAATCATTCGTACTATTAGGATGTATTCACAGTCCAACTCGTTCACAATCAGATTTACTCCAAGTCCGTCAATACTCGAGCCCGCTCATATTCGAACGTTTTCGCGCCTAGACACTCACGGCGGACGAAAAAAAGGTCCATGAAAGTGGATGCACATATGGGGAGCTCGACGCAGGGAGTAAGTGAATGTGGTGAAGGTCTGGGAACGAACACCCGAGTTCGGCAGTCCCTTCTCCCTGGGTCATCGCCGCCTTCGCTGTCCCAGGCCGCCCCCGCGAACAGCAGCCGCGCTGCTCCTGGCGCGCCCGCGTCTGCCTCGCCCGCATCCGCCCCAACGACCACCCCCGACGACAGCTCCCGCCTCCGCTCCCCGCGGTGTTTCTGATTTTCGGCCTGTTTGCTAATGTTGGTGCCCCTGCTCTCTTCCCGTCCCCTCCCTGCGTCCAGCCTGGCGCAGACAGGGATGCTGGCGGGCGGGCGCGGCGGCCCAGCGCGCACCGCCGCCCTGGCAGTCCTGGGTGCCAACTCCCTCGTCGCCTCGTCGTTCGTTCTCCCCTCTGTGCTCGTGTCCTCGTCCTCGTCGTCCTCGTCGTCCTCGTCGCCCTCGTCGTCGTCGTCGTCGTGGTCGTTGTCGTTTTCCGAGTCGAGTGGCGCTTCCGAGTGCGCAGGACACTCTGAGGCGAGCCCAGATTTTGCAGCAGCACGCGGTCGGGAAAGCTTGGATGGCGCGTCGCTCCGCTGGTTCTGGACCGCCGCGCCTCGGCGCGACACTCTGCCCACTGTTGTTCGCCTCGAGCGATCAGAGTGCCGAACTTTCCCGGGGAGGAGGAGGAGGAGGAGAAGGAGGAGGAGGAGAAGGAGGAGAATGAGGAGGAGGAGGAGGAGGAGGAGGAGGAGGCGAACCTCCCGCCCCGCAGAGCGGAACGACACGCGACCTCCGCTCTCAAGGGCTGGCGTGTCGCCGGGGCTGCCGCCGCGACGCGCCAGGCACGATGCGCCGACCCGGCCCCGGAGTGGCGCTGCGGAGCCTGTGGGAGGCAGGCCGCGGCTCTGGGACTCCTGGATGGGGCCCGAGTAGATGGGGTTGGAGGACCGCGCCGCATCGCCGATGCATCGCCGATGCGGCTCGATGTCGAGCCCGATTTGTTTCACGTCGATGCCGCCCATGCATCGCCCACGTCGACGATGCATCGTTGGCGCATCGCCGATGCATCGCCGATGTATCGCCGATGTGTCGGCGATGCGGCGCGATCCTCCAACCCCATCTACTCCGACCTCATCTAGGAGGCGTCTAGCGGCAGCAGGGCTTATGATGTTCCAGCCTGCTTTAGCCTCGATCACCAGAAATTATTTCGATCGCCAGGAGAATACCGAGTCTTGGGGGTTTTCACGCGTCAGGCCCTGGGAGGCGATACCCGTTTGACACTGTTTCGACACGTTTCTGGGTGCTCGACAATTTTTCTTTGGGATGTGGTTCTCAAGTACGATGGGAGCAGCGTCAAGCAGGGCGCGCTCCCGACCGCGGCGCGGTCGATTGGCTTCGGCTGGCCCAAGCTTGCGGCGACCCGGCGCCGAGGCCGCGAGGTCCTGGCCATGCAAGCGAAGGCCGCGGAGGCGAAGAACCAGCACGAGGCCTGGGGTGGAGGAGGAGTCCGAGGCGGGAATTTATGCATGACCATCGCCTGGAGGATCAATTTTCGGGGACCTCGGCAGGCGGTGGATATGGACATATTCAAGCCCCTGGGGGCTAGAGGATATCCACATCCACCGCCCGCAAGGGCACCAGGGCGTCGGTTCCCAGGCGGCGGATATGGATAAATCCCCGCCTCGCAAGGAGCGGGGGACGACAACGACGAGGTCAAGAAGGAGGAGGAGGAGGAGGAGGAGGAGGAGGAGGAGGAGGAGGAGGGAGGAGGAAGAGGAGGAGTAGGAGGAGGAGAAGGAGGACGACGACGACGAGGAGGAGGAGGAGGAGGAGGAGGGCGGCGGCGACGAACCAGCACGTCGCTGGGCCGCCGTCCCGTCGTGTCCGGCGGGCCCGCCGTGGCGGGCCCAAGGGGGGGGGGGTTCTTCCGAGGGACGACCACGGGCCCAGAGCTCCGAGGACGTGAGTTTTCCACAAAGGGCGGTGCTCGTCGATGTCGGCCGTGGGGGGCCGTTTCCGATGGGCCTGCCTTCCACCACCACCACCATGAGTTCGAGGGGGGAAGGAGGAGGAGGAGGAGGAGGAGGAGGAGGAGGGAAAGGAGGAGGAGGACCCCCTCCCACTCCAACTTGTGGTGGTGGTGGTGGAAAACAGGCCCATCAGTCTCCGGGCCCCGGGGGCCGCCAAACATAATCCGGGGCGAAGCCTCTTCCTTGGGGAAGGGCTCGGGACCTCTGGGGCCGCGCACGGACAAAAAAGCAGATCGGTGGACGTCGGGGGAGAGCCGTCTTGGTCTCCCTCTTCCCTCCGGCCCTCCTCCCATTCCACGCCACCAGGAGGATGAGCAGGAGGGGCATAATGGGGCATGGGGAGGGTTGATTCAGAAGAGCACGGGGAGGATGAGGAGGAGGGGGCAGGAGGAGAGCGGTCCCGTCCTCCTCCTCCTCCTCCTCCTCCTCCTCCTCCTCCTCCTCATCCTCATCCTCATCCTCATCCTCCTCCTCCTCCTCCTCCTCCCCTCACCCGCCCTGCCAACCCGAGGAGGAGCACGACCGCGGCAGGCTCATCAGGTCCGTCTACGAGCAGGCCAAGGCCGGCAGGCTGAAGGGCGTGCACGGCCGGCTTGGAGATCTCGGGACCGTGTCGCGCGGGCGGTGTCGGCGGCGACATTTGCGTTGACGTCGGCGGTGTCGGCGCCGACGCCGCCGATGACGCCGCCGCCGATGATGCCGCCGTCGCCAATGCCGATGAGGCCGCCGAGGCCGATGACGCCGCAGAGGCCGACGCCGCTGCGAAGGGACTGCGCGCAGTGATCGCGAAGCACCCAGACTTCCAACGAATTGAAAGCATGAGCACAGATATGTTTCTATGTTGTCGGCCTCCCGGGGCCGTTGCTGGGCTCTATTATCGTCACCACATGATTCAAAACCGGCGCTGGGCAACTGGCCGGGACTTCGAGGACCAGGTATTGAAAAGAATACGTCGGTTCCTTCGGCAGGCAATTGCCACAGGGGCGCAGCACCACAGCGGTGCTCACGGGAGGCTTCGTATCGCCCGCCGCGTTCCTTAGGCCCTAGGCGAAAAACCGAATCAGGTCCCGTGTCGAAATCAGAGTGCGCCTCCGAAGGCCATGCGGTACGGGAGTGTCGTGGAGGGAGACGTCCCGGGAGGGCGACGTCCTGGGGCCCGCTCGCATCCCCGAAGGACAATGGATTCTATTGTCGCTGCCAGTTCGTGCTTTTCGGCACGCGTGCGTAATTGTTGCCCCGCTCCGCCTGGCTGTCGCTTGAGTGCTCCTCCTGGCCCCAGGCTGGGGGAGCGTGGGGCTTCCTGTCATTGACGTCTCCCCCCCCTGCGATGAGGATGCAGCGTCGGGCTGGTGTGTTCGTTATCGTTCCGTCCACTGTAGTAGACACATGCGATAAGACATATTAGCCAGCGTGGACCCTAGGCAGTGTGTTTCTAGCAACATGTGTGGTGCAATCTACAGGGAGTTCAAAAAACTAGGACGGCATGCCCGGGCTCAGTCTCGCGGGCCTATTCTAAAATCATACGTTTAACATTCCTTGTTTTGTTTCATGCCTTGCCGTCATCGCGCGAGTGATACTCGAACGCCTAGTTTTGAAAATGTTCACGGTTATCTTCCCCCAGATTGTCCCCCGGATTGTCCTCCAGATCTTCACCCAGATCTTCCCCCAGATGTTCCCCTTGATCTCCCCGTAGATCTCCACCCAGATCTCCTCCCAGATCGTCACGCAGATCTTGAGGTCTTCCTCCAGATCGTTATTATGATCTTCTCTTCTTTTTCCCCCAAAATCCCCCCCCGGATATTCACCCACATCTTCGCCCAAATCCCTTCCTAGATCTTCACCCAGATCTTCCCTCAGATCCTCGCCCAGATCTCCCCCCAGATCTCCCCAGATCTTCCTCCAGATCTCCCAGATCTTTCCCCAGATCTTCCCCCAGATATTCCCCCAGATCTTCCCCCAGATATTTCCCCTGATCTTTCTCCAGATCTTCCTCCAGATCTTCCCCCAAATCTCCCCCCAGAATTTTCCCCAGATCTTCCTCCAGATCTTCCCTTAGATCTTCCCCCAGATCAGGGGGGAAGATCTGGGGGGAAGATCTGGGGGGAAGACCTGGGGGATCGACGTTCGAGGCCTTCTGGCCTTCGGGGGCGCGAAAAGCTGGCGCGCTGCGACCCCGGGAGGGGCCCCCCGGGAGGGGTCCGCGGACCCATCTTGAACAGATTTTGGCAGAGGAGGAGGTTCGAGCTTTGAGGTTCGAGAGGTTCGAGCTTTGAGGTTCGAGGGTTGTTTCATCGTTTTCCGGCCCTCGGAGCTATCGGTTCGAGGGTTTTCCCCCAGATCTTTCCCCAGATCTTCCCCCAGATCTTCCCCCAGATCTCCCCCAGATCGTCCCCCAGGTCTTTCCCTAGATCTTTCCTCAGATCTTACCGCGGATCTTCCTCCAGATCTCCCCCCAGAATTTTCCCACAGATCTTCAGCCAGATCTTCCCCCAGATCTTTCCCCTGATCTTCCCCCAGATCTTCCCCAGATCTCCCTTCAGATCTTCCGCCAGCTCTTTCCCCAGATCTTCCCCCAGATCTTCCCCCGGATCTTCCTCCAGATATTCCTCCAGATCTTCGCCCAGATCACCCACCAGATATTACCCCAGATTTTCTCCCAGATCTTTCCCCAAATCTCTCCCGGGATGTTTCCCCAGATCTTCCCCCAGATCTTCCGCCAAATCGTCACCCAGATCTTTCCCTTTATCTTTCCCGATGTCCCGCAGAGCTTTTTCTATGTTTCCCTAATATTCACCCAGATATTGATTCAGATCTCCCCCCAGATATTCCTCCATATCGTCCTCCAGATCTTCACCCAGCTCTTCCCCCAGATGTTTCCCCATGTCTTCTCCCTCAGATCTTTCTCCAGATCTTCCCGAGATCTTCCCGCAAATCTTGCTGCAGATTTTCGCCCAGATCTCCCCCAGCACATTCCCCCAGATTTTCGCCCAGATATTCCACCAGATATTTCCTCAGATGTCCCTCCAGTTCTTTCACCAGAATTCCCGCCAAATAGTATATCCGAGATGTTTCTTCAGATCTTCTCCAGATCTTCCGCCAAATATTCCTCCAGATGTTTTGCTTTGCAGCTGCGCCAAATCTTCCATTGGACACTCCCCAGATATCCCGACAGATCTTCCCCCAGATCTTCCCCCTGCTGTTCCAGGGCGTCCCTTGTTTTGGTTCATACCGCGTCGCGGGTCTGGTTCTTGTTGTTTGAAGTTTCTAGTATTGTTTTCTGCCTCGCTTCTGGGCTGCGGTCTCTACGCGACAACATAGAATTGTCAATTTCGTGATTTTGGAATTCCTTGTTGTTGTTCAACCTCTTTGTGTGTGGAGATATATGTACAGTTATATATATAGAGCTATATGTATGGTGCGAGTTGTTGTGCCGTATACGTGGTGCAATAATATATGTGGTGCAATATATGTTGCGCACTCCGTGTTGTAACGTATGTGGTGCAATATCTGTGGTGGAATATTTGTGTTGCCGTCTATGTGGTGCAACGCATGTGGGGCAGTCTACGTGGTGCCATCAATGTAGTGCAGTATATGTAGTGCAGTGGATGTGGTGCACCCAGTATTGTGAAATCTATGTGGAGGAGAAACAGGAGGAGAAGGAGGAGGAGGAGGAGGAGGGGAATAGGGAAAGAGAAAGCGAACGAGAAAGAGAAGAGAAATAAAGAACGAGTATAATGAGGAAGAGGAGGTGGAGGAGGAGGAGGAGGAGGAGGAGGAGGGAGGAGGAGTAGGAGGAGGAGGAGGAGGAGGAGAGGAGGGAGGAGGAGGAGGAGGAGGAGGAGGAGGAGGAGGGAGGAGGAGGAGGAGGAGGAGGAGGAGGAGGAGGAGGAGGAGGAGGAGCAGGAGAAGGAGGAGGAAGAGGAGGAGGAGGAGGAGAAAGAGGAGGAGGAGGAGGGGGAGGAGGAGGAGAAGGAGGAATGCCGTCTGTCTCCTCGGGGCCGGGCTGGGAGGGGGGGGGGGGGCCGGGGGCCGGGGGCCAGAGCCAGGGCCCATGCGGGAGTTGAGGCCGAGAGCCTGGGCCCAGGGTTGGGTGCGGGCTCGGGGACGGGGCTGGTGCCCAAGGCCGAGGCCAGGGCCTGGGCTGTGACCCAGGCTGGGGCGGGGGCTGGGCCTTGGGCCTGCAGCCGGAGCCGGGGCCGGGGCCAGGGTCGGGGCCGAGGCCCGGGGGGGGGGGGTCCATGGACTCCACTGCCGACAGAGAGGCCACGCCCGTGAGAGGTCGGGCGTGGGGACCGGCCGCCTCCCTCATCTTCCGGGGAGTCGTGAGGCATGCGGCAAGGGCACGGTCATGCAGCCCAGCGAGGTGTCCAGCGGTGTCCCCGTGGTGCGTCGGGGCCGCCCCCACGGGCGAAGGCGTCGCAGAAGGGGTCGCTTCCTGGCCACGGGCCTCGAGGAAGCGGCCATCGACACACCCACGGTGGCAAGGAGCCGCCCTCTGGCCGTGCAGCTGTGGCACATGTTCGAAGTTTTGCGATGCAAGCTTATAAAGGATCAGGCAGTGGCGAAACTAGGCGTAAGAGCGACCTTTCGCCGGAGTGACCTTTGGTGCGGACACAGATGGGTCCCCGGATGGTTGAAAACGAGGCAGTGGCAGCTGCTTGCGCACCCATGTGTAGTCCCCCCGCGGCTCTCAAAAAGTTGCGCACCAAAGGTCTCAAAGGTCACTCTTACCCAGGGTCACCCCTGCGTGTAGCCGACTATAGGCCAACCAGACAATGTTCTAAGAGCCTTTTGTGGTTCTCACGAAATGTTCTCAGAACATTTCTGGGATCTAAGAACATGTCGTGGTAGGCCTATAGGAATGCCGGGACGGTCGGTCCCTGCAGTAAAGAAGGCACTCGCGAAACCACCCCCTCTGCGTCCTCTGCAGAGCTTGAACTGACATCGCCCTCCATCCGTTGCAAACTTTTGCGACGAATGTGCGCGGCGCCAGGCCGAGGGCCGAGTTCTGACACCGACCCCCTTTCCCTCCTTCTAGCACCCAGAAACGTTTCGGACTCATGTTCGCGGCGCTCGTAGGGGAACAAAAAGTGACATAAACAACAACTCGGAGGTCCGCGCGGATTTCTCGGATCGGCGCTGGGGCCCCCCGGCGGCGCCTCCGGCGCCGCCCTTGGCGCGCTCCGCGCGCCAGGGAGGGGGGTCCAGTGCCGATCCGAGGAATCCGCGCGGACCTCAGAGTTTTTATGTTTATGTCACTTTTGGTTCCCCTAGCTTGTGCGAGAGCCGAATGTTGAAACGAAGTCGCCCTCAGTCACTCAGACTGCTGCGAGTTTTTCAAGACGAGCGCGCGCGGCGCTGAGGCGAGAAGCGCATTCTGAGAACGACTTGCGCTCCTCTATTATCTTTGAACAAATACTGCAACTTTCAAACTTCAAGACCATACAGTGCGGGCGCGGTCGCAAGAAACCCTCGCAAGAAACCCAACCCTGAGAACCCGTGCGAGAGGTGCACCTGAGGGGAAGCCTGGAACACCCTGAACGCAGCAGCTTCTTCAACGGCTGCGGGAAGTCACCGCGCAGCGCGAGGAGCGAAGAAACCCAGGATACCCTGACGAAAAGCATATGGTTTCTTGATGCGCGCCCCCACTGTAAGTGGCAGGGGCGTCGCAGGCACAAGGTTCGGCCCGCCCTACCGACACGTCTGGGGGTTCGACAGGGAGGAGCCAGTCGTAAGGAGGATAGGAAGGAGAACAGGGCAGAGAAAGGGGAGATCTCCAGAAACGGAGCAGGGGGAGGGCTGAGCAGGAGAGAGGGAGGAGGGCCGAAAAGGAGGAGAGGGACGGAGGGCGAGCACGACGACGGAGGCGGCGGGGACGACAGGGGGTCCCAATGTGGCCCCCGCTGTCATCGAAGCCGCCGAAGAGGCCACCTTTCGGGTGGACCAGCGCTCGCTGGACAAGATTCGCATTGATAGCTCGACTCGAGATTGCCGGTGCATCTTGGCTTTGGGGAGGTCGGGAGCCTTGAGACGGGGGTCAACGCAAACGGGGGTTAGCCAGTGCACCGGATCCTGCAGGATCCTGCGAAGACCCCCTCTGGCTGACCCGGGTTAGCGAGCCGCTCGTGGCCGCGGGGCGGCCGCGTCTATTGGCTGACCCGGGTTTGCGAAGCCCCGCGCTGCAGTTTTTTTTTGTTCCTGCCTTGCAGTCTTTCGGTTTTTCTGCTGACCGGGGTCTGGATTGACCCGGGTCAGAAGATCCCCGAGGAGTCGGGGACGGAAAAGAGGGGGGTGATGACTAGGGGGGGGGGGTGAATATCATGGCGTGGGCCATGATATTTCCCCAGACCTCATGGCGCCTCTTCTTGTTCTGATACGTCCCCGGCCCCCCCCCGCTGGGCCGCGCACCTGCCGCCGGCCATGATTTGCGCCCCCCCCTCTTAGACGCCCCCCTCGTTGGCCGCTCCCGAGAGTGATGAGCCTGTTTTCCACCACCACCATCATAAGTTGGAGGGGGGAAGGAGGAGGAGGAGCAGGAGGAGGACGAAGAGGAGGACGAGGAGCAGGAGGAGGGGGAGGAGGAGGAGGACCGCCCCCTTCCAACTTATGGAGGTGGTGGTGGAAAACGCGCCCATCAGAGAGGGGGAGGGCCGCCGCAGGACCATCCAGAAGAAGTACGACGTGGCCGTGTCCACCGCGTGCCGGGGCCGCTCCCCGCCCGCGGCGCGCCGAGACGTCCGGGGGCGAGGGGGCGAGGCCGGTGGTCGGAGGCCTCTGGCCGCCCTGGCCGGGAAGCGCCCCCCCTGCGTGTGGGTGGCGAGTGTTATGTCGCAGGCCTAGAGGTTGATCCCAACACCAATATCGGCGGTGTGCCTCCACCGAGGGAAGAAGATTCCGATCTCGGTGATGGTGGTAATATTCTGGCTGCCAAGGTGACCGAAATATTACCACCAACACCGAAATCTAGGATCATCTTCCCCCTGTGGAAGCAAACCCTTGTATTGGTGTTGGTGCCCAGTTCCAGGCTTCCAATTAGGATGTACCGACCGTCTTTGGCTTTGATCACCAGGAAGAACTTCGAGCACCACAAAGAATACCGAAACCCGAGGGTTTTCAGATGTCGGGCCCTGGGAGACACTCGCCCGACACTGTTTCGACACTCGTTGGACACTTTTCCAGGAACGTGGTCCCTAAGTACGATGGGAGCAACATAAGGCGAGTGAGGGGGAAGGCGTGCTACGCATGGAATG